CGACGGGAGCATCCTTGATGTCGAGACTGTTGAGGCAGTCCCCAAAACATCTGATGGCGATGATTCAGTTCAGCTCCTGAGCTCTGGTGGGTACACGACCACTGCCACGTGGCCAGTCCCCAGCCCAAGCTCTGCTGATGGTGCTAGGAGGAAAGAACACATCAGTCTGTTCAACCGTCGCCGTCAGTTGTGTGCCTTGAGTTCCATGGGATCGCTGCCTTCGCCAATGCCGGCATCTCCTTGCACACCACCCAAACGCAAGCCAAACGCCTTGACGGGGGATGCCGTGGCCACGTGGACTGCCCAGCAAGGGGGCACACCAACTGCTTCTGAGCGCATGTCCATGTTCGCCCAGCCATACTGGGACCATCGCCCGGCCAAGCGAGCCAGGGGTAAGTTCGTAAATCGTAGCTGATATCGCTGATAGATCGTGATGAGTGCGCAGGATTCTCAGGTGGCACAGTTGACCTTGAGACGCACAGGGGTAGCGGCATGCCAGGTGTGCGTGTGTGTGTTGTGTGTGTGTGGGTGTGAGTTAGTCTTGGTGCATACTCCATATATACAGGATACATGAATATCGGTGGGCTCGATGACTTGGCGTGCTGCCGTGCGACTGCTGCACTCGTGACACGTGATTAGGGCGATCAGAAGTTGTCAGCGAAGGGGGGCAAACGTTTCAAAACGTGGTGCATGCTCCATTATCCAGTGGTCTTTCATATCACTCATCTGTGGGTAACAAAGCTTTCCAGGCGCAACTCCTGAACACCAAGTGAAAACATTGCAAAACCGACTATCACCTAAAATGCAGGTACACAACCGCTTTAAGTGGTATTCGAAAACCGAAAATGCGATAATTAGGACCCTCCCCGACAGGGTGCCATAGACTCCATAGACTACCCCTGCTACTGCTGCTACTACTACTACTACTACTACTACTACGGCTACTACTACTACCACTACTACTACTACTACTACTACTACTACTACTACTACTACTACTACTACTATTATTACGACGATGACTACTACTACTACTACTACTACTACTACTACTACTACTACTACTACTACTTGCTACTACTACTACTACTACTACTACTACTACTACTACTACTACTACTACTACGACTACTACTACTACTACTACTACTACTACTACTACTACTACTACTACTACTACAGCTTAAGGGTTCAGACTCTGACAGAGTTCAGAGTTCAAAGTCAGGAAGAGTTTGGGTGCAGGATTAGGATGTAGATCCTAGAGTCTAGAGATCTAGCGTTGGTGGTTCAGGGCAAGTTGAAACTCGTTTGCCATAACATGGGATTCTGCAAATGAAAACATTGCAAAACCAACTATCACCTAAAATGCAGGTACACAACCGCTTTAGGTGATATTCGAAAACCGAAAATGCGATAATGAGGGCCCTCCCCGACAGGGTGCCATAGACTATCCCCGCTACTGCTACTACTACGACGACGACCACTACTACTACTACTACTACCACCACTACCACTACCACTACCACTATTACTACGACGACGACGACGACGACTACTACTACTACTGCTACTACTACTACTACTACTACTACTACTACTACTACTACTACTACTACTACTACTACTACTACTGATACCGCCACGACTGCCGCGAAGGCAACGAGTGCGCAGCGGCGCAGGCGCAGAGTGTTGTGCTTTGAAACTTGGTTGCGCTCTGGTGAGGGTGTTGACTCAGTGCTGACTGTCGCGATGTCCGCTGTGCCATTGCTTTGTCTTGGTTGTGCATCACACAGTCAGATACATCTAAATCTAAGGTTGCGCTTTGGTGTTGAGTCTCCTTGTGCTGCTGTTCGGGGATCGAGGCCGGGGCGGATCTTTGTGCTGCACCTGTGCCTCTGGAGGTCTGTCCTTGCTGTGATGCTTTGGCTCCATGGTCGGTGTTGGAAAGGTTGCGAGGACGAGTCCAGGGGCCACGGCTGGGACCTCGAGTCTGCGTTGAACTCTGAACTCCTTGTGCTGCTGTTCGGGGATCGAGGCCGGGGCGGATCTTCGTGCTGCACCTGTGCCTCTGGAGGACTGTCCTTGCTGTGATGCTTATCTATTTCCATGTTCCCACCAGGTCAGGAAACTCCGGGCAGAGTTGTGTCTCTAGTTGTCTTCTGCAGTTCTTCTGCTTTCGGATTCACGCGGGTGACTGCTCAAGTTCGCCGTGGCCCCTTCTAGCTGCAGCTGCCTCCTCCCGGCCATGTTCTGCGTTTTCTGCGAAAAAATGCAATGCGGCCGACACTGGGAGCCTTCGCTCCGGAACCTCCCAGGGCCGAGTATGGAGCCTTGCAAGGAATGCAGAACGCCGGATACCTTGAACCAGCTTCTGGCTTTGCCCTGTTTGAGAGCCGAATGGGTGTCAAATCGGTGGCGTCAGGCTGGCAACGTGCCGTATGTGCAGCAGTGGGTCACCACGGCCATGGAAAAGATGGAGCCTGAGGGTTTTACTAAGTGGCACGACCTCTATCACAAGCGCTGCTTAAAGAAGCGTGCCTCTGGTACGTTCTTCTACACGATCGGCAACCCTCTGGTTTCAAAGCTCGCCGCGATCCTGGATCTTCCTGTGACTGGTACCACGTCGGAAACAGTTGGCAAACAGGTGGAGGCCGCGCTTTGTTGGCTGGAGAAGGATGGTCCTGCGGGCGAGTCCCGTTTAGTTCGTATTTTGGCCGACATCGCCATACTTCAAGAAGTTTTGGTGGAGGTTGGGAAATATGCCCCCGATGAGCTTTGGGAGTGTCGGAGCCTTGAAGGACTGGCATCAATTAAGATTTCCTCCTCCTCTGATTGCACTACGTGGATCGTAGGGCCTGGCCGGCGGTAGCTAAAAAAGCCACTGCTGAAGCTTCGCCGCATAACTCCATGCGTGCCCTTTTCTTGCGCTACTTATGTAGCGCCGAGCAGTCGGGACAGTGCTTGGTGTTTCGGGGGACTCAGTAAGTAGTTAGTTGATAGACTTGTTTGTACCCAACAGGGGAATTTACTTGGTGTTATCCTACTGACTTAGAACTCTATAAACTTACGAAGTCCTTCGACCCTCCAATTAGCCCCTACTGAAATCTGGCCTCGATGCCACGGAAATTCTGCTGCGGCAGCAAAGATAAGCGCGAGTGACAGACGAGAAAAAAAACGGCACTGCTGCTGCAAAACTGTCCGTGGCCTAGCTTCTAGTTGTCTTCTGCTTTTCAGATTCACGCGGTGCAGGAGACAGATGCGACATGTGGTCTGGCCGTGAACGCCGAGGGCCACCGCGGCCAGGACCGTGCTCCTGGACATGTCGGTGTTCGGGTTCGCGGTCCAGGGTTTTCAGACTACTACTACTACTACTACTACTACTACTACTACTACTACTACTACTACTACTACTACTACTACTACGCTTACAGACTCTGACAGACAGACTTACTACTACTAGAGATCTAGCTACAAGTTGAAACTATAACTATTCTGCACTTGCAAAACTATCACCTACAGGTACTACGACCCTCCCCGACTACTATCTACTGCTACTACTACTACTACTACTACTACTACTACCACTACCACTACCACCATTACTACGACGACGACGACGACTACTACTACTACTGCTACTACTACTACTACTACTACTACTACTACTACTACTACTACTACTACTACTACTACTACTGTTGCATCAACACTTTCCCCAAAATCAGAACTAGATTCTATTCGACTGTTCGCCCAGGCCATGGACCTTGGTCGACATCTGGCCGAGGAGAAGCAGACCGAGAATCGAGGCTTCGGGCGATTGCTGGGATTACATGCAAGCAGCAATTCCTAGGTGATAATGCATTTAATGCATCGCTGGTCTTAGTCTTAGCCTCAGCATCTTGTATTAAACGAACCAACATATGGTACACACAGCACAGGCACACACTATACATACACAAACACCCCCACTACAACCCATGCCGATGCCCCCTCATCCAACCCCCCCCCCACGCCTGGCCTACCCCTTCACCGCCACCTCCCCATCCCCTCACCTCGCCTGTGCATACGTTCACACATCCATCCACCCACACGCTGGCACGGAGTGTTGTGAGTTGCGACTTGCGTGACGCTTGTGCAGGCAGAGTGCTGTGAGCGTTGTGTATTTGTGCGGTGCTTGCTCAGAGCAGAGCAGACATGCTGTGCATTCCAAGTTTAGAATTCTGACTCTGACATCAGGTGACATGTTGTGTGTCGACCTGTGTTGAGTTCACCGCAGCTTTCTCCGAGTAGCCCAGCCACGGTTAGCCGGCGACACGAGTAACTGGTCGAGTCATGGCGATTGTTCCAAGGGACGCCAAGAAGCAGCGAACCATGCCAGACATGAGTGCGGGACGGCATCATGACTGCCAAGGTTGCCACCATTGTTTGTCAGTTGTTGACAGACATCGCATGAGTCCCGTGACGCTATGAGAGCTTACACGGTTACGCTGTTGCACGCATTCTACTGTTTCACTTTTCTGTACACCCAGGCACTGGGTTGTCTACCGGCACGGAGACGAGTATGTCATGCTGAGCGCTCTGCATGACGGCCGAGCAACTTGGATAGATGGCACTGTACGGCACAGTGCACAGTGCTCAGCACTGTGCGGCTTGCGCTGTGCTGTATCAAACTGCAGATGTCTGGCTTGTTGAGTCGTTGAGTTGTTCCATGTTGTGATGTGTATTCAGTGCTGAAGATTTGACATTCATTGACTCATTGAACTTGCGTGCAATGTGCAGATGGCATGTTTGCAGTTTGCATTTTGCAGCTGACCGTGTTCTGTTTCGATTCGATATCTTCGGCATGGAGGTTGCGCGGGGGTCGGAGGTGTGAGAAGTGGGAAGTTGGAGGTGAGTGTGAAGTGGAAGTGTGACAGTGTGACAGAGGGCCTATGACCAGACTGAGCCTCTCACCTACCATTGATTTGATTTGATGTGTCAAGGAAATCGGCAGATGGCACATGACGGTCCACATCAAAAGCAAACTGGACATGCGCGGCCGTCGGCATATGGAACGCCTGCCAGGCGTGGACGCCGAGTCCTTCGAAGCCCTTACGGCATCCGGTGGGTTGTCGTTCCAGGATGCATGGCGGAGGGACGTGGTACTGTCACTGGCTCAGGTACAGCGTCAGGTCAGAACCGCCATTCACTACCCTGAGGTTAGGGTGGCGGTTCTGGCGCCTGGTGGGGCTGTGCAAGCGTCAGACAAGACAGTACCCTTCACTCCCATGCCTACACCCCTGCAGCCGATTCTGCTGCCCGACAGCACAGCCTGCACACTTAGCAGCATCCTGCAGGACATACACACCCACACGCTGTTCACCAGCAGGGATCCGAGCGGAGTGCAGCAGCAGCAGCAGCAAGTGTTAGACCTGACACACAAGATGCAAAAGGCACTCAGGCTGAACACGACCACACGCAGTCGGGATGAGGTTGGAGGGTCGGGATACCTGCCACAAACAATCCTCAACACAGTCCTCCTCTGCGACAATCTGAAGGATTTGTCTTGCTTGAAAGAGGCGATTGACCAGGGCATGAAGATTGTCCTGTCCCAGGACCTATCCGAATGTCTCCGGTCACAACTCTCGCACTGGAAAATACCCTCCGAGGTCACTATCTACAGACATAGGCTTTACCTGGATGTCTGCTCAATGCTTTACAGCAGACTCCGTGTGTTCCATCCAAAGGACCTGTGGGCATGCCATATCCGAGCCGACTCTAGTCCACAGTACGGCAAGGACTACTTCGTCACAGAGGTGGACCACGTCAACCTGGCCGATGTCGCGGATCATACCGTATTGTCCGACATGGCGGGACTGATTCGAAGGCGAATCCTACCGCTACAATTGATCGGCAGCCGTGCCGCGTCGGCGGAGCACAAGAGCTTCCGCCTGATGCTGGCATTGTCGGCGGACACGGCGGACACCCACATCACGTTGGGACGTACTTACTCCATTGCCTTTGACATGGGGACAGAATCCAAGCTGTTCGTGTCTCCACAACCGAACAGTCTTGTCACTCCCCAACCAGGCACAGCATCCGCCGTGGTCCACACAAGGTCTACACGGCAAGTCCTGCCGGAAAGACAAACTTACCAACCTTGGGATTTGGTTTTACCAGGTGGCATTCAAAACAAAGGCGAGGCAGACGCACAGGAAGAATTCGAGAGCATCTCGCGTATGTGCCCACGGGCCATGCCACTGGGTGATGCAGACCACGCAATGCATCACACCATGTTGGAAATGAAGCTATCGTTCACAGACTGGCATTTTTTCCATCACTGCCTCAATGCCATATCCAAATTCTTCAGGACATGGTCCCGCCTGCACAGGTTCCGTGCCACGTGCATCGACCGCAACCCCAAGTTCGCCTCGGCACGGCTGCGGGACTCCTTCGGGGCCATGTTCACCACCGCCTGTCCGACGTTGGTCGAACATCGATGGGAGTATCTGCCACTCATTCAATTCCAGGATGATTAGGGTACGTTTCTTCAATATTCAGTATTTTGAGTAGTTGCTAGTCAGGAGTCAGTACTTAGTACTGAGTCAAGAGTCAATACATCACAGAAAATGAAGATGGAATTGATGTTGCTCTCGGTATGTTACTCGTCCAATCCATGATGCGCTCCGCTGTCTGTCCGATGCTCACAGGCGAGATGTCCTTTGCTGGGTGGTGCCTCGACAAGAGCCCATTCGAGCCTTGGACACAACGGACCTCGAGGTGTCCCATGATCTTGATGCCGACGAGATCAAGTTTCTGGGCATGGTCGCAGGCTACAAATTCCAAGCATCCTAAGACACACTAAGAGGCATTCGGCGTGCTAAGCTGATAAGTTAGTGCCGAGTGCCAAACATGCGGTTGTGCTCTGACTCTGACCCTTGAGCGTTTGAAGTTTGAAGCATTGACTGTTGATTTCCTGGGCATGGTCGCAAGCTAAAAACCCAATAACCCAAAGTTTCCAAAGTTGCATAGCATCCTATCAGGCTCTCAACGAGCTGAGCTAAGTGCTAAGTTCTAAGTTAAGTGCTGTCTGCCAAACACGCCACACGCGGCACGCGGTTGTGCTTTGGCCTTTGATGCTTTGAGTTTTGACGTTGAAGTGTTGACTGTTGAGAGTTGAGAGGTGGATCCTGCCACATAGCATCTGTTGCAGGCCGAGCGGAAAACCACGACCACCAGGAGCGCGCTGACCTGTTCTGGTCCATGGCAACGCTCATCTTGCCACTGGCAGAGTGGGGACACTCGGTGACCTCTTGGCTCCACGCATGCCCATGCAAGGACTGTCCCTCGCAGCGCAGTCGCAACCTTCCGCCATGCCCCCTGAAGGGGCGTAGAGCCATTGAGATGGCTATGGGGAAGGCCACCGATTTTGCTGCTCGACTTAATGGTGTGGGTGTGACACCCTTGGCGTACACAGCGATGCTGCGCTTGCCACCTGCGATGGGAAACACGCTGCTCACACAATTCAACGCATCAAAAGGTCGCATGCACCTTCGGTTGCTCCAAAGCTTTTCATTTTGGAGTCAGCGGCCGTGGAACATTTTGTGCATCGCAGAGTGCCTTCAGGACGAGGCTGTCATTGCAAGTCAGCATTGCATGTTTCTGAGTTGCGAGCTGGTGACACACCTGATGCGATGTGACATGTGTGCAATGTGCAGTGTGCATCAGTGCATCAGTGTTGTTCATTGACATTGCCTGCTTGCCTGTCTGTCAGTGTCAGTGTCTGTCAGTCTGTCTGTTTGCAGCGCAGGGTGAGCCATCACTGGCACGGAGCCGCGCAGCCGCGGCGGCACTGCTCGCCAATCCCACGCCACCGTGCTCAGTGTCCGTCATGGAGATGAACTTTATCCTCGGGGGGTCAATGCTGCGGTCTGATCTTGAAACCTTTGCAGCTGGAGGCCACTGAACACGTCTGAGCTCTGAACGTTGAACTTTGAACTTGAATTGCTAAATCATTGGGTGTAGCCGCTTGATAGCAGTGGGTTGCGAGTTGCGAGTGGTGAGGTGAGGTGGAGTTTGATAGCTGCGAATCAGCTAAAGGCTTGTCCCTGCTAACTAACTGCTAAGTGCTAGCATGTGGCTAGTCAGCTGAATCAGCTGTGCTCATCTCGCAGTTAAGTTAGTTGTGTTGTGAATTGTGACTTGTGAATTGTGGACCCGTTGTGAATTGTGAACCGTGTGAAAGTAGAAATGAAGGTAGTATGGGCCTCCACCTCCGCCGGGAGCTGCTGTCCTATGCCACTTCCCTGCTCGTGCTGCAGGGCCTGGAATCCCGACACCACCTTGTTTCAGTCAAGGTCGGGCGAGGCCGGGCAGCATCGGTCCCTGCCGTCAGCGCAGAGCTGCGGCGAATGCAGAACAAGGACCTGAAAGATCCCACCTTCCAACGGATGCTCCCGGACCTCATGAGTGGCATAGGCGCCTTGACCACACTCCCCTGGGCAAACCGTGACCAGCTCATCCGCAATATTACGGGACAGGTCTACCGAGGCCTCCACGCAGACCTGTCCCAACAGGCGGAGTATTTTGCAAGGTTCCGCAAACACCTGCAGAATTCACAGTCCGAGGCGGCGTCCCACATGAGGCCGCGGGACTTTGATTTGCAACACGCCCACGTTCGCCAGGTGCTGCGGGAGACAGGCTCATACTATGCAATTTCGGAGACGGGGACTGCTGATCAACACCTAGTGTTCCAGCTTCTATCCATGAACCCAGGGCAGCGCATGTACCTGCAACGAGCAGCCCACATGGGATCGGATGATTCTTGTATGCAGAGTCTACACTGTCTGCATTGCTTCTTGTACTTCTTCAAACAAACTTCAACACTCGAAACTTCAAACTTCAAACTATAAATTATAAATTATAAACTACAAACTTACGACAAACTACAAACTTCAAACTTCAAACTGTATACTATACTATAAACTTTACTTTTTAAACTTTAAAATGTAAACGTGCATGTTTGTAGTAGTTTGTAGTAGTAGTCGTAGTATGTAGTTTGTGTGAACTCCACGGACCCTTAGTATTGTAATGTATACCGTTGACTCTATAGACAACCCACCGATTGTGCAAGGTGTGGCAGGATGCGGTAGCCGTCCGGGTAGTGTGCAAGGCGGCAATCGATGGGAACACTTGTCTCCAGCTGGAACTCGATGCCTCTACGGTGGAGCCTATCCGCATTGTGGACTTCTTCCAGACCTACAGCGTCGAATCGCTACTCCGCTTCATGCAGGCTCCTTCAGTACGGAGTCCGGAATGACAACAACTCTGGGACTCTAGGACTGGGAAATAACCTCACGCCTCGCACGCAATCCAAGCCAGGTCGACACTGTTTCTGCAGTCTCAGAGACCGGTGTTGCGGACGCGGCGGCAGCATCGGACATGTCGGACGCACATGTCCTGCATCTCGGCTCGGCACGGCATGTACTTGTCTAATGCTATGCCAGACTATGCCACTTCTAGTCTTAGTCCTAGTTGAGCCTAGTTGTAGTAGACCCACTGTTACATTGCCGGTCTGTAGGACCAGCAATGGAGTCTGTAGTCCGTAGTGTGCTATGACTTACGGCCTCACCAGTTCCTGATCGAAACGAGATAAGACGAGACAGTCGAGAGTTGGGAGTCAGGTAGTCAATTAGTTAAGTACTGGCGGTCATGATGTCATTTAAAACAAGCAAAACAAACCACGCCACTGCCAGAGAAGAGGTCCCTCGCATACGAGCTGGCATCAAAAGCAATCACGGACAAATCTATGCAAATCGTCCCACGTACGCCAAGTGAGATGGCTGCTGCATCTTGGATGGAGACAACTGAGCTGACCAGGGGTCGAACATTGCTACAGAAGGCAGTCACTGCCTCCACAACACTGTCCAAGCCGGCTCGTGTGCGTTGCCACACCACAGCGTGGGCCAAGCGTCAGAGTCTTCTGTCCACAGGTTGGACATCGGGCAGCGGACGTGAGGCAAATGCAGAGCAAAGGAGACTGAACGATATACAATCTGCTGTATACTACGACCTCCTCATGTACAAGCCAGCCGAGATCATTGCGCTGGAAGCGAAGGCTGCGTTCTCGCACTCCCAAGGCTTGCACTACTATAAGACTGTACATGCTATGCTGGAGAGCTCTGCATACGGGTCGGACCAGGTCGGGAGGGGAAGTGCCAGTGCGTTCGGATTCGGGAGGAGGGGGGAAGTGCTATTTGAGTTCGGATTCGGGTGACCAAAGTAGAGTAATATCATATTAATATCCATTGAGCTGCGGTCTCTCTGCTTCTACGGACGACATGCATGTGTGCTGCGATCTAATCAACTTTGCTAACTTTGCATGGAGGCTGCATGGGAGTGGCGTGTGGCGTGTGCAAGTGTGCATGCAGTTGCTGCGATCTAATCAACCTTGCATGAGGTCTGCGTCTGCGTGTCATGTGCGTGCAGTGCACCCTATCGCTGTCTACGTTCAGGTCGCCGACGAGTGGTACATAATCCCGAACAACAAGAAAGTTGACTTCTACGCCGGATTGCAGTCCTTCTTTGCAGGCATGTTCGCAGTTCGCAGTTGGCAATATTAAGACTCTGCAGATTTGTTGTGTGCATTATGTAGTCACCAATCTGACAATGGTCAATGAGTCAAATAGACCCAATAGGCCCTACGTTACGTGTGGTATTGCAAGTAGTGCATATAGCATAGCAGGCATAGAGCATACACTTCTTCCTACTTCCTACTTGCATGTTCATAGTTCATAGTTCATAGTTCATTCATTCATCATTATTCATTCATTTATGCAGACTAACTCATACTTATAACCCGTCACTCGTCGCACATGCTCAAGCTTGAGCCGCGAACCACCACACCCCCCACCCCCGGTATGACCTCTGGCCCTGTGGTACTATCCCTGCAGGAGAGCGTCAGGATGACCCCAGAGCAGCCTTGCCTGTGCGGGAAAGACAGCCACCGCGGCAACGACGCAGGGCCCCCGCGATCGCAGCGCCGGTGGTCGTGGAGATTGAGGATTCAGACAGCGATGCTGATGCCGTTGGGGAACAGGAACGAGTAACTGCCGTCGAGCGACTGGCTCAGCACTGCCACCAGGTATTGAACGTTCCGGACCAGCGTCCAGAGGTCAGGAGGGAAAGCGGGCCGAGCTTGAGCCCATGAGGGCCTTACTTGAGAATTGTGGGTGTGTGTGGCTGTGACTGCGAGACATGATCCCAATACCAACCGGTTGTGCTCTGTCTGGTCGAGTCGACGAGTACTAGACTACGCTGTCCACTGTCGACCATGTCCGATACTGTGTATGGTGTTTCGTATCATGATGCTTACAGCTGTGCTTGTGAGTTGATGGGTTGAGCAGCGGCTTCATGTGACGGGTTGTCGCAGTGTAGATGTTCCCCCAAAACCACAAAATAGGACAAGGAGTCCGAAGACTCAGCAGCCGATTCAGAGACGACTGGGCCGCCAGATGTGGGTGTTGTCGACGTGGACATGCCGCCGCCGCCTCCTGCACAACCGTCAGCTGAGGAGATCATGCAAACCCGCAGCTCAGCTATAGTCCACGTAGGAGACGAGACGGTGTGTGTTTGTAAGAGAACAAAAACAAGCTGCGTTGAGCTCGACTGATCTGGCAGGCATTGAATCGACAATCCCACATTTAAAAGAGATTGCTGAGAAGTATCATCGCAGTCGGGATACTGCAGACGTAATCGTGCAGACGGCATTGCCTGCACTGTGCCGATCCATCCTCGACCACCCGGAGCTGTCTGCGGACGCGAGAATAGATCGTGCGTTGGATAGTGGCGTGGCA